TTTAAAAATCGAGTACAATTTTTTAATCAAAAAGGGGGCAAAATCGGGTGAATTTTTTAATCAAAAAGGGGGCAAAATCGGGTGAATTTTTTAATCAAAAAGGGGGCAAAATCGGGTGAATTTTTTATGCATAATCAAGAAAAAATAGATATTTAGGTTGATATCGGGTTTTATTCAGAAAAAATTTAAAACACTTAAACACAAATAAAGTATAGCTGACTGCTCCCTTAGTCTGAAAAACTTACATGTTGGAAGTAAAAAAGCTTACTGGTTTGATTTTGCCAACAGTTTGCAATGTCTTTAGTTAAAAACATTGTTAAGCACTAACCAAACATTTCAGATTACTATTCTCTCAGTGTCATAATAAGTTACAATTAGGTCACAAATATATATATATTGGTCTTTGTTGCCAACAGGTTGCGTTGTCATTTAAAAAACAATCATTCTTAGACAACAAACGAATATTTCCAGATAGGCACAATCTCAGTTTGAAACGAAAAGTTAATAACAACTAATTAAAAGATTTCAACGAAAAAATTCTGGTTTTGCCACTGTGTGTTCTTTTGGTCGATTAATAAAACAACAAGTTACAAACGTTCATTAACATATATCATCATTTGCTGTTGAAGTGTATTTTCGGTCATTTTAATGCGGTCTGGTGTTTGGATACAGCACGATTTATTGAAATAACGCTATACTGCTGCACTTTTAACCGAATGCAAAGTATAACTAATGCTGGTGCTGAGAGAACTGGGTATCTAACTGATGGATTTTTGTAGATTCTCGTTGCTGTGGGGTTTGGATTATCTAGAGATGGTTCTGCTATGTATTGATTGTATTCTGAGTGCAGAGCTTCAGTTGTTACATCTTCCACAAGGGAAAACATTTCCTTGTAATTTTCAAATTCCGCTTCTAAACTGACTTTGGGAAAGGATCCAACATTCTTACTTGCATCCATAACTTCTTTACAGTAGCAGATATATTCCTTTCAGTTGTTCCTTTTCATTTTTCACTCAGGGCTACACAGAATTCGTTAATGGATTGCCTCACATAAGTGACAGTGTTCCTAAAATTATACTGCACTTTTCTGTTCGTTCAACCTCTGTGCTTTGTTCCAAGCACATCTAAAGCTTGACCTCCATAATGAGGTATATTCTGTGTTGCATAACACCATTTCTCTCCAGCTTTTTCTGCAAAGTTAAAACCAGTTTAATATTTTCTTCTTAAAACACAAGCTTAGTATAGGCTCTTTGTTGCTGTTGATGAGTGGAAATGATTTCAATAATGTCAGACATCTTTTAGTTCAAGACATCCTTCCTCTTCAGGAAAGCCATCAGGTTATCCTACATGCATATAACAGCATGCAGACTCTCAAAGAAACTGAATCATCTGGTAGGAACAACAGCTGAGGGTTTCATTACATTTCAATTCCAAGTTTAACACACTCTTCATTGTAAAATTGTTATAATTTGTAGGCATATTTAGACGTGGCACCAAATTCGATAACCACTTATCTAGCATCCGACATTGCAGAGCAGTTAATGGTAGTGGCAACAGAAACGTGAATTAAATGTGCTATATCCTTGATATGCAGGCGTTTACTGACACATTCACTTCACGTATGTCACTAATCATCTTTTGCACGTACTGTGCAGAATCAGACACAATGGCAATAACATTAGAACACTTTTTCATATTTCAGTAATGCTTATGTAAGTACCAAATATCAAATCAATGCTGACACCGTTTGAGACAGCTACATTAGAAATATTTACTAATGCAATTTCATGATCCTTTTTACAGTGCTGTAATATGACATCAGTGTATTGACTGTGTGCTTTCCAGGTACACCTTGGGACTCATCAAAAATTAGATATGCATTTTTTATTTACTCTTTGATTTCTGTCTCAAGTTTTCGAAAGACTTCATGTTAATACTTTTCTTGCAAAGCAGCATACTTTGGCATTGTTTCAGTTGTTGGACAACATTTTTTTCACGAACTTCCCTATATGTCCATTAATTATGTAAACTCAAACCAGCGTTGGAAACTGCTGCAACAAATGAGTGAATTGCACCCTGATCTGCCTCTTTATAGGCTGCCTACATTTCCATTAAAGTTGGCTGCACTATTATAGAACGCCTTACTTTTTTTTCAGCATTTTGTTTTAGAGAAATATGACGTGAGCTACAAAGGTGTTCATTTATCTTGCCATATGTTGTTGTTTTTTTAGTCTGTCAACTGATATTTTTAATGCACGTATTTGCATGCAACAACTGCTTCTTTAGGCCCAATGCCACTGTCTCAAAAAACCTTCAAATCGGGATATTCTCTTACCAGTCAACAGGTTATTTGCTTTTCTACCCATTATTGAAGAATTATACTTATTATTATTAAGGAAGTTGTTATCTAGGAAACAAATAAAATATATACTATGTTAATGCAAACTGAACCTTTATCTAGTGCGCTAATATCAATGTCTAATTTATTTTCTTTATTTTCCTCTCAGTTTCTCAAGTATACTTGTGTTATTTCTCAATCCCCTAATGTTGTTTCCTTTCTCTTATTTTTCTGTTCCAATCCAATTTTTATTATTTTGTAGCAGGGTTGCAGATATTAACTGCATAACAGAACATACGGAAAACCGAAACTTACCTTTTTCACTCCATGCCGTGTTACCAAGAGAAAAGATTGACTGTAGTATCTATATCGGGAACACAGGACCGGGGAGAAAAACAAAAAACGTAAAGCTGTATTACTCTAATAATTATAAAATCAAAATAAGAATCCACATTTTTCCATCAGGCGACTAAATTTATCTTCGTCAATTTCAACTGCATGCTGCTGGTTTGGGTCACATAAAACTGCGTATGCATTTATTCATATACAATATACTGCTTATTCGGAGAGTTTTTACGTTTAATCCGAATTCAGAAATATAGCATTCTCTTGAGGGAGGGGGGACAAAATCGGGTAAAACCCGAAAACCATAACCCCTAACTACACTATATGTTTAAGACTCCAATTTGATTGACTTTGACCTTTGGCTCATGATTCTCAAAAGTTAATCTGCTCTAGAACTTTGCACATAGTACATGTTGTATAAATGTGATCAATATTATACACCCTGTATTAATATATCATGTCCACAAGGTTAAGAAAGATTTTCTACGTGTCAGTGAACTTTTGACCCTGACCTTTAACAATGGCATTCAAAAGTTAATCAGATCTATAACTTTGTATGTAGTTCATGTTATATACGTTTGGTCAAAATCCATCGTCAAATCTTAAGATGTTTTGTCCATAAGATTGGGACGAACAGACAGGAACAAACCAATATGCCATTATTTGTTTCGCAAAGTAATGGGAGCGTGTTTGTTTGTAGTTAAGCACAAATCTACACAATGGGTTATCTGTGCTCTGCCCACCACGGGTATCGAAACCCGGATGCTAGCATTGAAAGTCCACAGACATACCGCTTTGCCACTGCGGGGCGTAATGGGAGCATAATTACACATTGCAGTTTAAAATAAACTCAGGATACAATCCAAATCAATCTCAAAGTAAAAGCAAAATTATTTTATGCTGTTTTCATATAGAACATTTCACAAACAATAACAATTCGCTGGATTTATATTTGGGCCAAAGGCTCTAAAACACGTTATTTATAATCGCTGTTGTAATAAGAAATCTTTAGCATGTACATAAACTATTTTTATCTGATAACCGTAAGAGTTCCTGTATTTACTAGAAGCAGACGATTAAGCTAATCACGAGATTCTCACGTGCTATGGTCTTAAAGTATCTTATCGTGTGATACGTGGGTAATCAAGTCTTTTGAAAAGAAAATTACTTTAAACAAAGGAAGGCGTAAATCATAACAGGAAGGTAAGCTGTATGCACTTTGCATATTATTATATAACATACTGTTTTGCATATTCACAGTTGTAATGAGCAGTGTAGAATGCAAACGTGTCAGTACTTGTGATATCAAAATTTGATTAACAGAAGGATAGTGAAGAATAACAAGTAGTGAATGAAGTGAGGCTTAACGTAAAACTTAGCTCAAAATGATTGCCTATAATAATAGCAAGAGGTTTATCCTCTTGCTAGAATTAAATTTCATGGTTAAAACTATTAGCATAACATTACTTTTCTGTCATTAACTGTAAAAATCTATACATATATTTTAAAAAATTCAAGTTTCGCGAGGGGATATCCTAAATTACTTTACAATGATATCAGCAAGTTTCGCGAGGGGAGACAGTACAGTGAGCTACAAGCTTTCGCGGGTCACCTACTTTGTCAGTTATATTTATTACGATTCTTAATCAAGTTTTGTGCTTTCATTTTATCATTAGATGATTACACATGAAGCTACTCGTTATTATATACTTCTCGTAGCAGTAATTTGGACGTTGTTTCCTCAGGGTTACCGAAGTGTTGCCGTTGAAGCATCTTATACTGAAAAGGTAGTCAGAAATTTTACCAGACATCTGTATCATTTTTATATAAAACACTTGTTTCCTTCTTTGTTTAAGCGTTATTAGAATAGATCCATGAAAAAATTCTCAACCAAATCACAATTCTCTATATAGTTCTAAAACGAAAACGAAAAACTTATACGAAAGACTGCCGAAACGTCTCCAGCCAAATTAATATTTATATTGATAACTGCGTGTATATCAGGAGTGCGTATCTCAACACAGTAGTCCATTACGATACGTATTTAGATATCTAGATACAAAAGTTTTACTAACGGTTTGTTACAAAGTTTTACAGTCTTGTCTGTAACACAAGCATGCGAATTTAAACTTCATAACAGTTGTTTTGGTTTTAATAATGGATTTTCCGTAATTCAGCTAAGCAGCTTTCGGAAATAATATTACTTTTTTTTCTATCACGTAAGGCTTTTTTTTTACAAATCGGGAAGTAAAAAGACTTTTACTTAGATCAAATTTTATTTCGTTACAATGAAAATTTGTTAGTATTATGTTTGTTAACAGAAATACAAACAAACTGAAGAAATGAGAAGAACATTGATTTCAAACGAATATGCATCCTTATTCATCTTGATGTTGTTTTTATGTATTGCGTAAATGACATTTTGTGAAAAATCTGTACGTGATGGAGAAAATTGGACACCATTTTCGGGTTCAGCGTTTAGGAATTACTGTAGAACATATAGAAATTCCAAGACAATAAAACCATCGCAGGCTTGTGTAATTTATCAACTATATTACTGTTACGTCTCCGTTCGTTAGTTGATTATCTGTAA